AACAACTATTGCGCCGCACGATTGGAAATCGTACGAAAAGATGCGTCATTTGGCCTATAAACTATTGCAACTACGACCTGTCGATGACTATTTACCCAATCAGATAATTGATCAGGTAGGCTATCTATGCAATCAGGTCTATATATCAATTTAAGTTGCAAGCCTAGACCATAAAGCTGCTAAGTATAACAATTTAGTTGCAAGCAACCTTTTTTGATATTTAGAAATAATGCAATCAACTATAATTGTTGATTTGTGCAAACAATTAGTTTCAATAGAAATGAAAAAAAAAAAACGTTAGTAATATATTAAATTTATCTATTTGAAATGGGAAAATATATTTTCAAACAAATTCCTGATTTAATAGATGTGAATCTTAGAAAAAACAAAATTGGATTTTGAAATTAGTTTGCATATAAATATAAAAGTATTCTGAGAGATAAATGACAGATGGAAAACTGTATATAAATAAACCAAAGTAAAGGTAACTTTGATGCCAATCATTGGATTTATCCAACCGTATTTGGTAGATGCCAATTTCGGGTAGAGCTCAAATTGAGCCCGCACAACTTGCAATATTTTCAGAAATATTAATATAAAATCTGTGCTTGAAACATCGGACTCGAATTAGGAGTAAGTGTGGGACTAACCCGCATCCATATATATATATATCTCTATATATCTCTGCATATGCATATATAGTTATATACTTAACGGATTAAATGATTTTATTTTAACAGGGCATCGACGTGCTTCAGATAATGCGCAATATCCACACGTTCGCCTCCACGTATGCATACAATATGAATTTGCAGTTGTTTGTGGAAATTCAGAGCCGGAACAAGCATCTCGATATTATCGGTACACGGCACGTGGCGAACTCCGTGCAGACACATGGCACGGGCATTATAAACACAACGGTTAATTTTATTTATCAGTTTTTGCGTCAGAAATTCTATACATTCTCAACGTTTCTGCACGATGAGCACATCAAGTCGCGTCTCCTGAAGGAATATCGTTATCATGCCGAGCAGAAGCATCATAACAAGCCATACCAATCGTATCCCTATGAGCGGGCCGAGAGCTTTATCAAGAAGATACGAAAATTGGGTGTGTCCAGCAATGGGGAAACATATATGGACTTGTTTAGGAAAGTTATAACCCAAGTTGGTCAGTTTATCAAATGTACAAAATAATATCAGATTTCGGACTTAATAATTATCTTCCATTCAGGCAACGCTGTGGGCTATGTCCGTCTACTGCAATCGGGCAGTAAGAATGCAAATTTTCGAAGTCGTTCCTTCATGTCCAGATTTAATAGCAATTTGATGCGCGGCGAGGATAAGGGCTTGGAGTTGACCACCGGAGGTTCCATCAGGGAATACGAAAAAAGTGTTGAGCATCTGAAGGAGTGTTATTCCGACTGCACCAACTACTTTAAGGTATTAACGCATTAACACTTATGGATGGAGACAAAAATAACAAAAAACGAACTTTGTATATTTTGCAGCTATTAATGCAGGGCTTTCAGCCATTTCTATGCAATCCGCACAATCATCATTTGAGAACATTCTTTCTAATAACACCCGCCCTGATTATGAACTACATCGACTACAGAGTCAAGGAGAAGCTGAAAATGTACAAAAAGGATCAATCGAAATGTTCGCTGTTCGAGGATGGCTTCGCCATGGGCCTAGTCTACATTCTGAATATGCTGAATCAGCTGGGCGATTATCATGAGCTCGGCTGGAATCAGACGACCACACAGCAATTGAACGCCGAGCGTCTCAAGCTGAAACACATCCTGTCCACGCAGAACAGGGACCAAAGCCATGCTCCGCCCCCAACTGAAATGGACGAGAAACTACTTCAGACAGTCGCAATTACCGAAAGACACATAAATGCCTATGACCATGAATATAAATTGTTATATGCTACTTTAAGCAGCGCTGAGATATTTTTTCAATAAATCCTTTGTGACAAACATTAAAAAGCAGCATTTTCTTGCCAGAAGTGCCGCCCAGCTGCCATTAAACCTGATCTGGATAAAAGCAGAGCTGAAATTATACAATTCTTATCCAATTCACAGTGGAGAGGGTTGTTTTTTCGAGCTGTGTATACAAATTATATTAGTAATAGAAACGATAGGCCTAACAATTTTTTTTTTTTTTTGGAAATATTTCTTGATAATTAAACAATTGTTGCAAGTAGTTATTTTTTTCCAACTTCAGTTTATTAAGACGAAACAATTCTGACGTTGATAAAAATTGGATCATAAACATTTTTGTTATCCACATACGAGTTGCTAATTATGTGTCCAGTTGGACAACTAGTTAAGGTATTTGGGCACTTTTAATGCAAGTTCTTTAACTCGTATTAAATCACACATGCACTTTAGATTAGTTTAAGTTTATATAAAGTTTATATATCGGTATATAGGGCTGGGCTTGCCAGTGATAGCAATATAATGTAAATGCATGAAAAATACAACAACTTGACGCTTATTAATCATATCCTTATTCATAGCCAAAATACACAAATGCAATCCTTTCAATGTGTATACATTAATGGATATTCATTTAATTGCGCACCGTGAGAACACTTAAGGATTAGACACAAATGCAATTGCTTGAATTGATCACTTAATCTGAATGATTAGCATTGGATTTGGTTTTTCGTTGTTTTTTTTTTTTTTCTTATTTTTGTTTTTGTTTAGAATCTTTTTAGTTACAGAGTCGTGTAGTGCATTGAATCACACGCTCCTCCTTAAGGTACTATGCGATTCCATCTTGCATTGGAAAGTTACCTGAAAGCGGCCCATTGCTTATATGAATATTATTAATTTATAGTGATAACATAGAATGTCTATTGAAAATATGTGTTGTATTTCATATTATTACAGTTATTGGTAAAAAAAAAAAAATATATTAATTGTTGGAGAAAATGCGAACGGTTTTGTTTTTTTCTTTCGTCTTAACAGAATTTCCCATCTTAAAGTGAACCACAATCGGCGACCACAATCTTCTTTGTGGTCTTGCCAGACTGCGAGCCGTACGATTCGATCTTCTTGACAACATCCAAGCCCTCAACAACTTCGCCAAAGACAACGTGCTTGTTATCCAGCCAGGCGGTCTTCACCGTGCAAATGAAGAACTGCGAGCCGTTGGTATTGGCGCCAGCGTTGGCCATTGAGAGGATGCCGGATCCGGTGTGCTTCAGGCGGAAGTTCTCATCGGGGAACTTGTTGCCATAGATGGACTTGCCTCCAGTGCCATTGTGATTGGTGAAATCGCCGCCCTGGCACATGAAGTTTGGAATGACGCGATGGAAACTGGAGCCCTTATAGCCGAAGCCCTTCTCGCCGGTGCACAGGGCACGGAAATTCTCGGCTGTTTTGGGCACGACATCAGAGCGCAGCTAAAAAAAAAAAAAAACAAAAAAACCGAACAGAGAAAATAAATTAATCAAATGATTAAATTTAATACAAATAAAAGTATATTTACATACACACACATACACACACTCACAAATAATATATATATAGTCTGTACAATGACCGGAAAATTACCAAATATACATATGCATTAAAAGCCATATACATACACACACACACAGAGAGAGAGAGAGAGAGGGAAAGGTACACGCTAGTGCACACATGAACAACAATTTAGTTGCAACGCGAGTTGGCGCGTGGTGTGTCACCGATTTTGTCCATTGTCTAAATCTAAATTATAGATTTGAAAATCGAAATTGACGTAAGCCCATTACATCATCAAAAATAAAATTAATTCTTTCTTTAAAGTTCGTTCGTCAAAGTCAAACGGGTTTACGGCATTCTTAGCACTATGCATGTATGCATACACACATACACATACATGTACATGCAGGCTGTCAGCGTTTAGAAATTGAGGTTATGTTTGTGTGTATTGATTTGTGTGTACATACATACGCACAAATGCCGGCAGCTTTTCTTTTTTTCATATGTCTATATATAAAAATAAAAAATTGGGTGATATGAGCTCCATTACTTGGCAGATATTTAAATCGGCAACTAAAAATATAAGTGGCGAACTTTAATTGTGCTATCTTAACACATGCATACATATCTACTTGTGTGTGTGTGTGTGCGTGTGTGTGTGTAGGTATGCATATATACATACACAAGAGTATGTGCATTTTTTGTACGAATGTATGTATGTATATGTACACGCTCTTGTACATACACAACTTATAGGTGGTAAAACGGTAATTGCCACTTAAAGCAAGTATTCAAATGTATGTGCACACATACATGTACATGTACATGTATATTGACAAATGTGCATTCGTGTATTTGTTGTAATTAGTATTCGTAAGTAAATATAAAAAGACAAAATAAATCGAAAAATAAAATATATATTAATCACGTGTTTTACTCTAGCAAGCATACTGCAAACTTTATTATAGGAGTATGTACACATATCTAAGTGCATGTACACACGTGTATACTATATACATATGTATGTACATATGCACTCACGTACGATAAATTAATTTAAAAATCCACCACGTTAAAAACTCAAACAAGAAAATACAAAAAAAAAAAATTAAAGCTACCGGCAAATATAATAAACTCACCTCCATAATTATCCTACCGACGGGCTCGCCATCGGCGGTCATGTCGAAGAATACTCTCGGTAAAGTACTCATTTTCGATCCCTTCGAATATTCGCGAACAAACTGAATTCCAAATTGCAACTGACCTCCGTTACTGCCAATTCGAGCTGGGGTTATAGATTTTTTAGGTAAAATGGCGGACCCAGCAAAGCGAAGTGCCGACGACTTGTGAATGTTCCGAAGCAGAGTTGCACCTAAAAAGACCATCGTGTAAGTGTGCCCGCTCGTGTATCACTAAAATACACGAGGCACTTAAAAACGTTTTCTTATCGTTCCATTCCATTAGCTGTTGTTATATCACAATAAGCCGGGTAGAAACAGTGAGCCGATCTAGTTCCGCGACTCATTGAACATGCGTATTGTTTGTTATTATACATATTATAAAATTTTATTATACTGGATTCGGTAGACAAAAAACGTCTTAAGTTTGTGCACCAATTAGGTTTTAAACCAAGATGAGTGGATCTAAGCGGAGCATGATCAAGTGAGGCAATCTAATTTGTTTATTCAGAATAAATTTCTTAAGATGCTGCTAACGACAATTTACTTTATTGATAAAAAAAAATTTTTAAACATATTTTCGAATACAAATATCGGAGCTAACAATATCTGGTCTTTTACTTGTGAACTAGCAACAACCAAAGGCTCCATCGTGTTCATCGTTATCGATATAAGTTGTTCGCCAGCCCTTGTATACCAGGGCTCCACTACACTTAATCGTGTTATCGCGTCCAACCGAAGAAAACAATTTATATTCAAACCAATCGCAACAGTGCAAAATCTTCGATTTCGTTTAATTTGATAAATGAAATGTTACTTTTTTATTTGGTTTGTTAATAACATGTATTGCTGTCTATAATAAATCTGACGAAGAGTATTTATCAGTCTTTTAAAGCGTCAAATTTTTATTTGTTTTCTGTTAAAACCAAGAAAATTTAATATTATCTGCGATTTTTTAATAATAACACATATACAACGGCTCCATTATTATGGGCACAAGAATGTGTTAATAAAATACACTGTATTTCAAATTTTTTTGTTTTATTTATAATTTTTCACTTAATACAAAAAATACTCTTAATTTCCTCTTCTCATATTCTTTTGTTGGTTTTTTTTTTGTTTTTTTTTTTTTTTCTTGTTATGGTATTAAATAAAAATTAAAAGCAAACAAAATGGCAACTTGCGCCAGGGAGCCAAAAAAAAAGTTAATCAAAAAAAAAAAATAAAAGAAAAAATAAGAAAAAACACAACACTATTTCTTACATAGAAAAGCTCCTTGCTGATACAAAATTCTACAAAAAAAAAAAAATTAAATCCAGAGGCGGGTGGTGGCGGGTCGGGGGGTCGGGGACACAAAGAACGACGATTATGTTTTAAAATAGCTTTCACAGCTGTATTAAATACATACACATGTATGTGTAAGGCCAATGTATATCAAATACATGTAGTTAATTAATTAATTAAACAAAAAGATAAAATACACACACAGGCAGGTAATTAAGTAAAAAACAAAGTTGTTTAAATACAATATTTAAATTTAAAGAAAGGCAACGGTGGCTGCTTAAAAAACACTTGGTCAACATGTTCTCGCGTTTTTATGTATACATAAGATATATAGTTATATGTGTACTATACATATGCACATACATATATATATATATCTATATATGTGTATATATATATATGCATATATTGGTATTCCCTTACTTTTCGCATAGTTCTCAATCAAAGTTGTAGTTTATATAGTAGCTGATATAGATAAAGTTGTAAGTTTTGCAAAAAAAAAAAAATTATAATAATAATAACTGTGCATGGCTACATAAAAGTTTACTCCGAAATATCAATTGGAATGGATGTGGTAAACGTCGGCGTCTCCAGCTCCTCGTGCTTCTTCATTTTGAGACTCTGCGAGAGAGGAAGAGAGAGAAACGTGTTAGTGGCAGCACACTGCATCGAAATAGTATGCGCACTTGGCTCACCTGTTGCAGCTTATAGTGATTGATAATGTCCTGATCGGCTGGGCACGATTGTGTGAATGCGTCCAGCTGATACATGTGGTACATGTAACGCCACAGCGCCGTCAAATGTGTCTGCAAGAGAGAGAGAGAGAGCGCGAGATTTAGAAAGCGTGGAAGAGAGAGAGAGAGAGCTAGAGAATTGCCACTCACCGGTATCTCAAAGTCGACAAAGTATTTGCCCGCCACACGAATGTGCTGCAAACGGGGCATCAGCTCACAGTCGAAGCAGCACATGGTGTCGCCGGTTAGGAAGCGTGTATTACGATTGGCCAAATGATCGTTGATCTTCTTGAGATGCGTGAGCAGCGCATTGTTCTTGGCATCATCCTTCTTCACCAGCATCAGCTTCAATTTTCCATACAAGTTCTCAATCAGCGTGGCCACGTCCTTGTCCTGCACGAACAGATTGTAGCCGCCGGGTATGTTCTTCATGATGTGCCTTTCGATTTTCTCGTTCTCCAATATGGCCAGGCCATTGTCAATTAGGATGGGGGGATGTGTTGCCTCGAAATTGGTTCGAAAATCTGGTGGCGGCTTCTGCATATCCACTGTGGTCACCTTCAGGCTAATTGTCTTTAGCTCGGCCAGCAGATACAGATCCATAAAGTACTCCTGACAGAAAAGGCAGGCGCCCTTGCGGCGTCCATCAATGGTCGAGGCCTGTCAACAAAACAAAATAAGTATACTATTTCATTTTAACGGTTATATGCATGCATATGTACATACATATGTCCATGTAGGTCAAGTGTCGTTTTATATAAGCATCAATTATCTATACTAAATGGACATTGTTAAGCTTTGATCGCGTGCCAGGCGTTTGACAAACAAATAAATCAAATAAAATTTAATGAACTAAGCCAACACACAGTGAACTCTCGCTGGAGTCAACAATATGCATTACATACAACAACAACATACAGAAACTGGTTACATCAGCAGCAGCAGAGAAAGAGAGAGATAGATTTCAAATCAAAAATAGATCGCTTTATCTGTGACAATAATGAAAGTTTATCCAGAATTAACAAACTGTACATTCTTGTTATATATACATACATATATATATTCAGGTGTTCATTAATTTGAGTTTTCACTGTAGTTTGAATCATGTGACATCATCATTCACAATATGTAAGTAGCGCACGTACATTGCGTGATGAATTGTCGACGCATGGTATCGAATAGGTATCGAAAAAATTGATCGACGCTTGCGCGGGCGTCAGGAAGTGCACACAGTTCCTGCCATCAGTCAATCTGCCAGAGCCACGCCTGCGTGGCATTTGACCAGAAACTGTTGAATGATGTCATCATCTTTGCTCTTTATTTTTTTTTTTTTTGCATGACTTGTTGATTTATCGACAGCCGGTAATTCATAAGCACACATAAATACGTATGTATATGTATGTATATATATATATATGTACTATGTGTGTCTGTGTCTGTTAGATAAACTCATGTAATCGTGTTTGTGTTTACACGCTGCAACACAACTCCATCTACAACGTACATTGCTTGCAGGGTTGCCAGCTGCTGCCTAAAATAGAAGTATTGTAATAATCGCCGGCCACTCGTAAATGAGTAATCGCACTAGCAGCAATGACTACCTGTCAATAGCTATTCAAACGCTTGCAATCAGCTGTTTTAACATTTACGCATCAATTATACAGCCAATTGTGTTTAATTTTCTAATACGAACTAATTAACATGCGTTTGCATGCGATTGTGTGTTAAAATGTGAATAGCTTAATAACCACATACACACACATACACGCACACAAACACACATATTTGTATCAATGTCTACAGAATGCGTATGTATAAAAGAAACCGCAGCCACGCCGCCCCCTCATTAAGCACTCATGCGTGTGCTGTGGATATGGAGTGGAGGGGAGTGGAGCATCGTCACGGGTGCGTCCTCACTCAAAGCATTTAACGCTTGGCGCTTTAACGGTTTATTTTATATTGCGGCAGAAATATCGTACATGTGCCCTGTCGCATTAGCAGCCGGTGAATGCCCAGCAATGTTATTAACCGTTTGCTGATATACTTATACGACCATGTGTATGTATGTAAGTGTGTACACATTTGTCACACACAAAATTCCCAAATGACCTGATTACTTTCACACCTGCACTCGCAGACATACATATGTACATATGAACATGCACACATACATACACACGTCTCGTGTGAGTGCGGTTAAAATGTAATTATTTTGCAATATGAATTGCTAAATAAATTGTACAGAACGCGCATATGGGGAACATCAAAGGTCAAGTTGAGGTGCCTGCCGCCGTATGCAGCAGCTGAAAGATTGTAAAAATTGCAATTGCCGATCGAAAATAGAAATGACGAACGTAAAGCAAACCAAAAGCGGCCGTTAGCAAATGTCAAGTGGCATACAACAAGCAGCTCATAGCAATCTTTCATATTTGAAAAAAAAAAAAAAAAAAAACAATATATATATATAAGTGCCTTGCCAAAAACAACAATCGCTGACGAGCAATAAAAACGTTAATTTTTAAATACATTTCATATTGTGCTGGCAAATAAATAACTGTGTACGGTTTGGAGAGAAGAAGAAGAAGCAGGAGCAGAGCAGCAAATATTAAATGGCATCATTCACAGAAGCGAGACAAATCTATTGTATGATTTTCTTCTCTCTTTTACTCTACATCCTCTTCACTACTGCTACTACTACTACTACTACAGTTGCGAGTCTTCGATTCTTGATTTGTTGACGTTGTTTTTGTAAAAGGGCAACCGATTTCAATAGAAATAATAGTGAGATAAGATAAAAAATAAAATACAAATGGTAAGCGCTAGTGCGATCAGCAGCAAAAACAATCAGAAATATATATGAAATGTATAAGCTCCCATACTTAGGCATGCTTTTATATATACACACACGCACACACACACACACACATACGTACATATGCATGTGTTTGTGCAATCTGTGCGTGCTGTATTTGGGAGTGCGTTATTTTTGGAACCGGTTAGCGCTGACAGCTGCAGCGCGCAATACTTTTTTTTTTGACGGCGGCATCGTGGCTACGGTTGAGGGCGGAGAGAGAGAGATGTCAACCTTGAGAGCTTTCTTGTTGTTTCCCCGACCAACTGCCGCACATTTCAAATTACATATCTTATCAGAAAACAGCGGAAGCATTCGCCCAATAGAAACCGCAACGGCTCACTCTGATGAAGTAATAGTCCAAAAAAACAAAAAAAAAAAATAAAAAAACAATAATAAATATAATCAACAGTGGGGTCGAGTGATGTGTGGGGGAAAGGAATGTGAGTTTGAAGAATGAGAATGCTCACTCGTATCTTGGCCTAAATTGGTAAATGGCTAATGGGTTTTTTTTTTTAATGTTCTTCGCGTCGCGTCTTCATGTTCAGGTCTTATTATTATTATTTATGGCGTGCTGAAACGCTTGTCAATTTCATTTTGCTAACTTTGTGACTTAATTGCTATTTTAGTTACCACAGATATAGTATGGAGTTAAGTAATTTCTAAAATAAATTATTATTTTTTTTTTAATTGCGAAATGTATGTAAAAAGGAACAACACAAAGACAAGACAAAAATAAATGTAAACATTGCGCGGTGTTTTTTTTTTTTTTATATTTTTTATTTGTCAATGAAATGCATTTGCACACACGCCACCCACAACAACAACAACAACATCAGCAGCTACAACAACAATGGCATGACAAGCCTCTCTTGCGTGCTTGGTTAAATGTCATGCTGCAGCGCTTTAGAGATGAACGCGTGAGTGAATCGTGAGCGTGCAGGATGCACATCTGAATACAATGCATGCATTCTTAGGGGCGTATACTTGATGTGATGTGTGTTTTTTACTTGTCCAATTGATTACACATGTGCAGGCACATGTGGTCAGGAATGTGAACCGCACGCATATTTCGCCAATGGCTGAGTCGCCACATTTAAATATAAAAGCAAAAAGCTCGCACCTTAAATCTGCTGGCATCGCTATCGATACATTTTCGATGCCAAACAAAGGCATCGAGTTTTGGGTAAATCGTCTGCATCAAATTGTACAACAATAAGCGCAATTGTTGCCGTTGCTATTACAGATGTTGTCTCTGTGTGTGTGTTTGTGTGTGTGTGTGGGCGATGACTGTGCCTGGGCCTTTGGCTTTGGCCAAGGAGGCGGAAAACTGCACACGAGAAAAACCTGTTTAGCGTTCAATGATTGTGTTTTGTTGGTTTGTTGGACCTCGGAACAGCAAATGAACACACATTTGTTGTGTTTGTTGCACGCGCCGCGCCACAGACACGACAAGCAGCGCGCAGAGCCAGTTGGGAAGAGTGAATGCTGCTGCTGCTTTTGTTGTTGTTGCTGCTTTCTTCGTCTATGCAACATAACAACAACAAGCGAGCGCAATGTATTTGGGCGCAAACCAAATTGAACTTTCACTTTTTGCTTAAATGCTTTATTTGTACATTTACGTTTATTGTTGTTTTACCTTTGATTGCAAATGGCACGTACATGTTTGTTTGTTTGTGTGTGTGTGTGTGTGTGTGTGTGTGTGTGTATTCGTGTGCATTATGTCAAAGATGCTTCTGTTTCATTGAGAGAGTGCATTGAGTTCAACAGGTGCGCTCCGGCAGCCATCTTTCACTTTCTCTCTCAGCCAAAGCTTCATCTAACAGCAAGGGAGGGCAGGGAATGGCAGTGGGGGAGGGTGAAACTGGCAACTCCATGCAGCCGGAATTGCATTAGTCATACTTCTTTTTTTTTCTTTTGTAGGGTGCGGCATGCCGCATGCCACGGCGTGGGCGTCTAAGGAGTGCTACGGCGCATAAAGCCCTAATAATTGTTGCTTAACTAATAGAATCAACAATGACTGTGTACAAAGACAATTACTTGGGCAAACAAAATGTTCGAGTTGAAGTGTTGATTTCGTCTTGGTTTGCATGACGTAGGCGCCAAGAAATTTCGAAATCATACGCACACACACACACACACACACGCAACCACACACAACAAACAGCAATGGAAACGTGTGCGTTGCCAGGCAATTGGCGCAATGAAATGCGATTAAAGTTTTTGTCAGATAAGAACTTATTAATTAACTGTAAGTCAAATGCAAGAATATTTAGCAGGGTTGCCACTACAAATGCAAATTGAAACACGCACACGTGGAGAAGCAATCCATGTGTGTCTGTGTGTGCTGCTTAGTTGTTCGAGAACATAAGGAGCGGAAGAGAGAGAGAGAGAGTGAGAGAGAGAAAACCAGTTTTTGCGATGCTTAGCTTAATAACAAGAACAACAACAACAACAACTACTACTACAAGAAGAACAAACAGACAGACATACGCAAAGCCAATACAAAAGGGGGCGTACAAAGATGATGAATAAATAAAAGACCAAAACTGAGCATAATGAATACATTTCTATATATTTCATGTGACACTGAATTGGATAAGCAAAAAGGTGTACAATAAAGAAGTTGTCTGTGCCTTGTGCATTTATTTGCGACACAACAGCATTTTCACTTTAATAATGCATTGAAAATTTGCAAAGCGCGCATATAGAAATCTAACACTATCTTAGCATGTACATATGTATGTATGTATGTATGCTTGCATGCATATGCATGCTTGTTTGTCTAAATAACTCACCTTAATGATCAATTCGATCTCGGGCACATCAAATTTGCTGGTGCCGTTCGACGACTCCTGCTGCGACTGTGTTTCAACATCGGCGGCTGACATTGTTTTTTAGTTAACGCTTTTGCTAAGCTCAAGCTCTTTCTTGTTAGCAACTTTGAAATGTACGCTCTTGCTGCGGTTTCTTCTTATATTTGTTGTTGTGGTTTGCGTGCGTTATCGTTGTCGTTGTCCGCGTGACGTGCGTACGTGTTTTTCCTTTGCTCTTTTATGTTGTGCCAATTTATTTTTGCCAATATATTCACACACGAACACAGAACACAAAATTCAAAATTCACTGTACTTGAGCGCACACGCCTGTATGTGTAGATTGTGTGTGTGTAATACAAAATTTACGTTCGCTTCCCGTTGCAAGCGATTTCGTTGTGATGCCTGTTTGCTATAGTTACAGTATGAAATAGTGTTGGATTGTTCATAATGCGCTGGTCCGTCGACATCGGTGCAGCATATCGATTTATTGCAGAAAACAGTGCTGAAAACTTTTTATCGATAGTTGATAATATGGTCTCTCTGAACATAGTAAACATCGGTTGTTGTGCTTTGCCGGCTTTATCGTCTTATCGAAACAAATTCATTCGGCTGGCGTGCGGCAGCACGATACTAACTCAGCTTACTTTTTGATTGATTTGATTGTTGTTTTGTAAATATATAAAATTGTTTCAAGTAATGGATCTGAACGAGCTGTTACAACAGGCACAACGCCTTTCAAATGAAACCCAAATGGACACAGAAATGCCGCGCGTCGAGCGCACACTATCGCAAGTGCTCCAAGCGACACAGGAGCTGCATGCTCGCGTCACACAAGCCGGCACAAACGATCTGCAGGCGTAAGTTGTATTAGTAATATTGTTAAATGAATTATAATGCGAACCGCACATGCGTATGGCGCACTTCCCTTGCAGTCACATTCTGCTCGGATCTAGAGGCGTGGATCTACCAAAGCTAACACAAAAACTCGAATCACTAAGCGCGCGACAATCTTTCGAGCCTCTTAATCCCATCGCCGACACTGATGTCGAGGGCTATTTGAAGAACGAGCGCGAGAATGCTATAATCGCTGTTATTGAGGAGACCAACAGAAATGTAAGCCTGACGATTGAATTTCAATATTAAACAGTTTCAATTTCAATATAGGTTATATATAATACCGGGCCGAGTTTAAATTTTCAAATTCTAGACTGTTCAGGGTATGCCTTTGCCTCTAAAATGCTCTGTTCTCTCACATACTATGTCTGTTGCTTGCTCTCTACCTCAAAGATGGCGAGCGAGTAAAGACTGACTTAAGCTCTCTCTTTTGAAAAGGCGCCTTTCTATGCGGTTTTCATGAATTCATATAATGGATCGCTTCCAAATGATATGTTTATGTATTTACTTGTATTTCGAACAGATATTCAAATCGGTCGAGCGCAACAAAATGCGCTGCATTTTTGCCGAGTGGGGTGAGGAAAAGGAACGTCTGCTTAATGCATTGGTTGGACCTAATCAGGATGACTTTCCTGAGGTGCACCGCCACATGGTGCCCACTGTACTGCCACAGTCAGCGCTGCCGCGCTCTCGTCTCAATCGCGTCGAGGCAATGTATGCCCAGGAGATCAAGCTCTATAATCAAGTGCACAACCAGGGCACCCAACGCCCCAATTTGCTCGTGCAGTTCACGCAGGTGGTCAAGGATCAGCAAAACACTTTTGACAATCAGATCCACGAGATGTGGAGCGTGCTGAGCTATATGGCCAACGTGACACCGCTCTCACGCAGCGCAGATCCCATCAAGTCCCGCCAGAGCGGCGCACCATTTGTCCAGCAGGCGCTCGGCTATTTGGAGCAATGCTACAAACAATACATGAACACGGTCATCCAGAAGAATCGTCTTGTGGGCATGCGCGGCGGCATACCCAATGTCTATAATACGGTCTGCTCGTATGTGGCCATCACCTTTCAGATGCCGCAATCCCTGATTGGCCTGCTCGATGTCTCCGCTGGCCGACCGCTGTGGCCCCTCGTCTACTACAGTCTGCGCAGCGGCGATCTTGGCGCTGGTGTACAGTTCCTCAAGGAGGGCGGCGTTTGTGTCGATTTGCTGAAGCTGCTGCAGCACAAGCATCAGATTAAACAACAGCAGCAGCAACAACAGTATCAACTAGGGGACCAGGAGCGCCCCAATGCCAAGCTGGAGGGACAGCTTAAGCTAGAGTACAATAATAAGTTACGCGTCTGCACCGATCCGTTTAAGAAGGCGGTAAGCTAGTTTGGGGCAACCAACAGTCGAGCATGTTTTGGTTAATTTAATCTTTACTTTTTTTCGCCTAGGTCTATGCCATCGTGTTGGCGTGTGATCCGCACGAGCCGCACCAGGAGGTCGTGCGCACCATTGATGACTTCCTTTGGATGCAGCTATCTGTGCTCTGTACCGACGAGCGTCTCGACTATAACATCGAACGTCTTAGCTACGGCGGCCTACAGTCGCTCATACTGGAAAAGTATGGCGAGAATTATTTTAATGCACGCGAAAAGACTCCACTGTATTTCCAGGTGCTTGTCCTTACCGGCCAATTTGAGGCGGCCATTGAGTTTCTGGCCCGCACCGATGCGAATCGTCCGCACGCCGTTCACATGGCCATTGCTCTCAACGAGCTGAACATGCTAGGCACGCCCAGCGACGTGCAGAAGCCGCTGCTCTCCGCCGAGCCGACTGATCCCCCACCAATGCGTCGCCTCAACCTGGCACGCCTCATCATTATGTACACTAAGTGCTTCGAGCAAACAGACACCGTCGAGGCCCTGCAATACTATTACTTGTTGCGCCACTTCAAGGCCACAGATGGACGCAATCTGATGATGACCTGCTTCTGCGATATGCTCGTCGAGAACTGTGATGATAAGATGTTACTATTGATTTTTGGAGAGCCCGATCCGAATGATCCATGGCGTTATATTGGGTAAGCATGCGTTTGCTTCATTCTCCACTGAATATGTTGAGAGAAACTTTTATACTATATATGTAGATATGTATATCCGATCTCATTGTTATAATCTTCAAAAACTTATTTTCTCCGTTTCTATTGCAGCGGCATCTTTGCCCAGTTTCCCAACATGGAGCACGACAAATACGCCCTGGCCGGCATGGTGGGCGATGAGCTTTCGGACCGCACCAAGTTTGAGGCTGCCATACGTCTGTACTTTATTGGCGGCCAGATGGACAAGGCTTTGCGTTTGCTATGTTCCCTGCTGACACAGGTGGTGCATCAGCCGACACGTCAGGGCAGCATCCGGGAGCAGCTGAGTGCGGTCTCGGAGCGCATGAATCAATCGCTTGCCCGTCGCAAAATGGACGTGGATGAGCATGTGATGCGCACATACACAATGCTATCACAGCTATTGAAGTTCTTTGACTACTATCATGCTGGCGAATCCCGTCTGGCCGTTGAGATATTGACCAAGAATCGCATAACGCCCAACACCTCGGCCGAGGTGGACGAATGCGTTAGCAGTCTGAAGCTGGTGGGTTCCGATATCATTAAGGTGCTGCCCGATGTGCTGCTGGCCGCCATGGATCTCATCTATGCGGAGTACCTGCAGGTGAAGGCCAGCGCTGGCAGCACTGGTGGTGGCAGCAGCAGCGGCGTCGCTGCCAGCGCACCGGATGATACCGCCGGCCAGGCTGGCGATGGCAAGGAGGAGCTTCTTATGCATTTACGTGCACGTGCCAAGGCTCTGACCAATATGGCAGCCACACTCCCATATCGAATGCCCTCGGACACCAACAATCGCCTGGTGCAGCTGGAGATACTGATGCATTAGGCTTCATCAATGGGGCGATGCTGGGGAAGGGCTTAAATAACCGTCATCCGTCAGAAGAAGAAGAAGAAGAATAACTGGCAGCCAACAAGGCCATCAGAGAGGGGCTGGTCGCGGGGAATCCATGTTCTTTACTGGTGTTTCTTTTGTACGATTGTATTTATGGAATTTAGTTTTTGTTTATTTGAGAATATATCGGTTATTTAAAAAATGGAAATGTGTTGTTTTCCTTTCTGTTAAGATATATTGTATATTGTATATTTATTTTTTGTGCGTACAATTGCTTATCATCAGTCAAATGAGGAGGGAGGCATCATCAGCTCAGCCCATATACTGGTAGGAGGCGCAGACGGGCTCCTGGTGGCGCGTATGCGGCGAGGATTGCAATGCGAGACGCTGCAGATGGCAGCCCCGGCAGAGCAGTCGCCCATCCAGCGGGTAGCAGCGTTTGTCCGGCTCATCGGTTAGCTGCATGCCGCACTCCTCGCATATATAGCAATCCACATGGAAATCCTTGTCCATGGACACAACGCGCACGGTCTCATCGGTGCCCTCGACGGGCGTAATGCCTGCAGGCGATGCAAATAAAAAAAAATAAAAACAGTAAGCAGTTGAGTTTTCACAAGAAACGTCTCGCACATAGAGGGAGACTCATAAAGTGTACATAATATATTTGCTTGATTGGGCCCTGTTTCTGTTGCTACATATGAGCGAAATCCTTTCCACATCGCACTACCATATCAGCTCTTCTACATATCAGACAACCACTTTGTATGGCTACCATAGGAACAATCTCTCGGATATAAAGATTTCCTGAACAAGTATTTCTAAGCTACAAGTGTTTTTAGACTTCGGCGTGCCGAAGAAAGAACGTTTGTTTTTGTTGTGTTTTTTTTTCATGGAGCGCACCTTTGCCACAGCTGGCGCATTTGGGCGCAAACATGCGATGATAATCGTTGACGCAGTAAATCTTGTGATCCACATCCACGGTGAAGGGCACGCCGTCGAGGCACTCGTTGCAGATGCAGCAACGAAAGCAGCCCGGATGATATGACTTGCCCATGGCCTGCAGTATCTGTAAGCCAAAAAAGACAGCGTGAGCAGGAGAGAGATAGAGATAGAGAGTGGGAGAGGGAGACAGAGTACGCACCATTTCCATGATCAGGTGGCCACAAATGGCGCACTTTTCAGCTGTTTGCTGAAAGCCCGAATACTGTAAGTGAGAGCGAGACAGAGAGAGCTAAAGTGAGTGAGATGCATGTGCATAGAAGGAAATGCTGGCACTTACCATGTAGTCCTCCTCGCAGTAGACACGCCCGTGCACATTATAGAAAGCCTTGCCGCGCAACGCTCGTCCGCAGGAGCAGCAAATGAAGCAATTTGTGTGATATAAATTGCCCATCGCCTGGCAGGCCTGCCCGGCGCCCTTCACCTTCTCGCCGCAGGTGTGACAAATGCCTTGAATGTATACAAAATAAATCTATGCTTAATTACGTACTCAAAATGCAGAAGCACGAGTCCCAACCGTATCCCCTCTTAAATGACTCAAGTATGCACTTGGACAGAGTTGCGAACAAATCACTTAAGGCTACAAAATGAGCGG